CCCATTAGCTCAAGGGTTCTTGTCCCTCTCCCCTTCTTCAGGGGATCATGTGTTCTTCTCTTGGGGGGGGGTCCTCCTTGTGTCCTAGTTTCTCTTGTGGTGTGGATTGTAGGCTGGTAGTCCTTTGCTCTTTGTCTAACATCCATATATGAGTGAGTCATACCCTGCTTGTCTTTCTGTGATTGGGTTACCTCACTCAGGATGTCAAACATAATTTTAAAACTTAAAATAATTGTTTAAAATTGGGTTTGATGACTCACAAATGTAATCCTAGCAAAGGCAAGAGAGTTTCTATGAGTTCAAGGCCAATATGGGCTATATAGTGAATCTGAAGCTAGCCCAGGCTATAGAATGAGACTGTCCTGAAAAAATCAACAAGAAAATTTTTTTGAGGAGATAGAAATGCTAATTCATCTGCAATATATTATACATATGAATAGAAATATCACATCATGCCATGTAAGTGTGTATGACTTAGATAATAATATCTGAAAAAGCACAGTCCTAGGAGAATGGTTGGGGCCTCATCATAGTTCAGTAGTTTCCATGGACCTTGACTAGTGTGTTGAGTTCTACTCTGTAATGGATGAGCCTTCTTGCAAATGTGCAGAGTGGCAGAGCAAGGCACCAATGTCCTTCTGACTTGTGTCTAAATATATACATATGAATGTATGTGCATGCTAGGTGTGGCTGTGTTCCTGTCATCACTGCCTATTGCCAAAGCCTTGCCAACCAGAACAATGAAGAAAATAAGGTCTCCCAATCTAATTGTACTCCTTATTCCTCTGAATTCTTATTGTCTTGGAAACTTCTTGGGAGTTCCAGAAGCAAGTAGCCCAGGTAACTATCCCATTCTACATAACAGAGTCTTCCAGCTTTTACAACAGGGATAATTTCTATTCCTCATATTCCATAGTTGTTTTTGAGACTGCTAATCTCCTATAATTCATCATGGCTTAGAAGACTATTATTTGAAATTTTTACTCACTCTGATGCATACTGTAGGGATTAATAGCTTGCCTATGGATGACAAGTTAGGAGTAAAAAGACATTCTGCCTTCAGCAAAGGAAGACTGACCTACTTAGGAGTCATGGGAAAATGAGATCAATATGGGGTGTGGGCAGTGAGAATTAGCCAGGAAGGGTCTGAGTCACAATTGAATTTAACGGAAAAAAACATTTAAAAAAACACCCTCTCATAAAAGAAGCAGAGTAAAGAGTGCCATAGGAGAAGCAGGCTAAATAAGTAAACAGGGTCAACTTAATACCCTACTAGAAATCACATCCCTAAACTTGCCACTCCATGGTTGACCGCTTTGCGCTAAAACACTGAAGGACATTCTGAAATGCAAATGCATTGGGCCCTCTTGAAGTCAGGCTTAATGTGTGCTCAGGAGAAATCACCTTAATGTAGTTTATTGGGAGGTGAACCTAGTACAGAGAAACTGTCCCTGGTAAAACACTGAAAGAAGAAACTGCTTTACTGAAACAACCGCTCCCCATGCAGGAAGAATCAAAGCAGAAAAGTGATCCTAGAAGGAGTTGTCAATGAAACAAGCATCACCTTTTGTCTTGGAGGAACTCTGAGACAAACTATGAGTAAGTCAGATACTTCAAGTGAAAACTGATTTAACAAATGCCTAATCAATACTAAAGCCCATAGTGGAGGTTATTAAATTATATAATCTGCATACCTGTATTATAATTTTTTATACATGTAGTCCTTACAACTGTGCAAGCCATGTGCTGCTATTATTCCTCTTTAACTCATGAGCTACCCACATTGGACCTGGAGGAGGTCACAATTAATGCATGGAACTTGCATTGATATTCTAATTTTTGTCCACCAAACTCATGTTTCTAACCACAGTGGGTGAAGCATCACTCCTCTATAGTAAACATCTACTGTTAACAACTCCTAATTGTTCTTATAACTCATGAAAGAGAGTAAGTAATAGTAATCCCAGCTTTCCTTGGGATGGTCCTTACAACTGCAAAGGGCCCCCATGCCTGTGATAGTCAATTACCTTCAGAACAACTTTAGAAACAAACTCAATGCCTCAAGTTTATAGATAAAGATGCTGATGAGTAGGAAGCTTAAAAGATCCCCCAACTAAGGGCCATGCGACCGGGAAGTAGAAAGGAAAGACTCCGAATCTCTTTTAGTTACCCAATATAGGGACCACAGGCTGTGATGTTCTGTGAAGAAATGGAGGCAAGCTATTTCTTTTGTGTGATGTTTATTTTTCTCAAAATAAATATTGGCATAAAAACACTATGGTGGGGTGTGGATTTGGGTAAGTGTGCAGTTAGGGAAATGGGGAGGAGCTGGCAAAGAAGAAACTATAATTAGGAATATCTTATATGAAAACAATCTATTTTCAGTTTTAAAAACTTGAAAGACAAAACAAAAAACATTCTGGATGGGGAGAAGAAAGACATGATGAAGCCTTTGAAACCATCTCCTTGCCCTTGTCCAGGCTGTAGACTAGTACACTGTAGACCGTTTGTTGAAAGCCATCAGGTCAACTGCATAAAGGTTATTAAGATGTTCTTAGGGGAAAGTTCTGTGAGAATCCCAAGTGCTACAGAAATAAGAGCATACCTCACTTAAGCGTTAAAATTTCAATTCCCTGAATTATAATGGTCTTCATAGTAAAAGTGTTATTAATTTTTAAAAATTATTTGTTGCTTTAGGAGAGACATTAGTGTAGTTATCCCGCTGTAGTTTAGCCATTAAACACATAGTCTGTGTCATTCTTGCAGGACAGGAGGCAAAACCTTTAATCTCCCATCCAAATTTCACCTCAACTCATTTCCAGGGTTTTCTGCATACATGTTATTTTTATTCCACTGGTTCTAACTTGTGTGGTGTTTTGAGCAAACCATGAGTAAAACTTCCCCTGACATTTCAATTCTCTTATGACAGTATTTTCTGGATTGGATAGCATTATCACTTGAATTTCTCTAATTATTTATTAATTTCTAATTGAAAGAGAATAAATGGCAGCAAGTGAACCAGACGACAATGGAAAACCCATTCTTGACTTAAGGATTTCACCATTATCTCAGATTGACTGGCAGCACTGGTTAACATCTACTTAATGTCTTTCATTTGCCTGGCTACTATTCCATGTACATTACATGTACCAGTTCACTTACATTCACAGTAAACCTACAAAATAGGCATTATTTTACCGTCTCTTTTTATGTGAGAAAGGGAGGTGAAGAAAGGTGATCTATAAGTGCCAAGATCACATAGTAACTGAGGAAGCTAGAATTAAAATAGTGGCTGCTTAGTTGTAGAGTTTGAACATATTAACTCCTCTAACTATCCTTCAGTGAGACCTAGAAAGAAGAAAAACTGAATCTCAGAAGCAGTAAGATTGAAGATAAAAGTAGAGAAAACATCAAGAGAAAAAAATGATGCTGAAGAACCTCTTCTTGCTTCTTCAATTTGAAAATACAGTGCAGTAAATAAGTAGAAATCAATAGTGAGTTGAGCACATTCATAGATATAAGGAAACAGTCAAAGGTTAGTTGGAAAATTTTCATGCTAGAGCAGAGTCCCATAGTTTCAGTTCTAATCTCAGCTTTAGGCACCAATGCACCAATGACATCCACGAGGTGAAGGGATTAAGGGCTTTGCACCATGGCTGCATGCCCCACAGCCCTCCAAAGACTGTTCCAGCTCCTGGCCTTTCCCAAGTAGAGAGCTTGGATTGGGCAATTCTTAAGGCTCTTATAGCTGCATGATGTCTCTGTGATATTGTCAGTGTGTACACATCTGAACAACACATGTGCTTTGTTCTTCCTGCCAGCACAGGGCTGGGTTCTTTGGGATTCTACAAAGGTGGAAGGCATGAGCCACTCCTTCAGGGAGGGACCATTGTTGTTCACCAGTGAAGGTGAGCTTCCTGAAGACGTGAATCCTCAGCCAGTGAGTTTGACACCTAAAATCAGCTCATCCTACCATTGTAAATGACTCATGATTATTAGACATCCTCATAATTTTGTAACTGCCAGATGTTTATTCTAGAATTACATATAAAACCTGGGGATCATGAAGAGAATAAAGACAGTGAAAAATACTTGCATATACCTCTCAGTGTCGTAATTTAATGACTGTCAGACTCTTGGTTGTCCCCAATATTGGTTGTCCCCAATATTCATTGTCTTGTTTTCTACATAAATACAACCCATATTGTTAGATAGAGATATCCACACATCCTCCTAGCCCTTATATGGCAAAGAAATGTTGTCATGTGACTAATTTCTAGAAACAGAAACTAATAGAATTGTATATGAATTTGGGGATGATCTGCTCTAAGAAGTACTTAACTTTAGGATTTTTAGTCACAATAAACTTCACATTACAAACTGATAGAAGTGTCTTTGAGTCAGGAGTTGGAAGCAACAATTTGTAGTTTCTTGTTCCACCTATAAGAGCAGTCATGGCTCCATCTAGGTCAGACGCAAATCTAGCCACAAGCACACCTGATATCACAGAACATGTGCACATAATACTCAGACAAATCCAACTAAAACTCAGAGATGTGTACTCACATGAAAGACATGACACACCTTGTGAAATTATTTTAGCGTCTTCACTCAGTTGTGTTTATTTAGTTTGTTTGTCCTTTGAGGTCTTTCACAGACAATTGAAAATTCATCTTGACTGATTTGCACAAAAGTAATATGCTGAAGAAAATGCTCACAAAATAAACAGAAACAGAAAAATTCTGAAAAATGTTGTCAGATGTTTAAAATAGTGAAAATTTGTGTGAATGATTTTAAATGCATCACTGCCACTAGAGTTCGGTGGAAAAGTGTTAAAGTGATAAATACCAGAAAGTGTGATGGTTTTAATATTTGTTGAATTAATCATTAAAAGGAAGTAAGCTTTAGATATGATTGTAGATAAGCTAAATTACTTCCATTTTTAAAACGTTGTCAGGTTAGATACTTTTACACGTGAAGATAATTCCCACAACGCTGTGGACTATTTAATGGTTTATTAAATCATTAAACCAAAAGCAAAAGAAAAATTCAAGAATCCATTCCAATCTCCTTTTTATTAAGCACAGAAATTTTATCATCACAGAAAACTGGAATCAGGACCTCTCTACACCAATTTTAAACCCAGAAAGTCAGTCTTCCAGCTATGCTTCTACTTCAACCTAAAGAAGGCAAGTTTCCATATTGTTGCAGTCTGCATCAGTATTAAGCTCATGAAACGTGAGGTCTCATCACAGCTTCTTTTACTCAAAATCCTTGGAGAATACAGAACATTTTGCATTGTCTTTTACTGGCAATGAATTTAAAGTCTAAAGCTGTCTTTAACATATCACAAAGCAAATTAAGATATATATGGAAGTACACTCCAATCTATCAAAAGTAAGCTTTCCAACATCAATGTACACTAGGAGTTAATTCTTAAAACTCTTTTGAAGAAAATAGCATGTATAATTATTCCCTTGTGTTTTAATTCTTTCATATAGTTTAATGACACTTTTTACAGTTCACATGATAATCTCTCTTCATTCTTATATTCTACTAACAAGTAATTTTGTAGTACAAATAATAATTACTCAAAGACTAGGTTTTTATGTTTACCACTACCTGAGAAGTAATAAAAGCAGCCTATAGTTAACAAAATAGAAGGAATGATAACATAACAACTCCTTCTTTGGCAAAACCCTTTCTCTACAAGGCTCTAAAGTCTACTCTAATTTAACTGGCCTATCATTTCAGCAAACAAACCCAGAATTATACAGAACTCACCCATTTTTATTTGTATTCTACATCTTTGGATAACAGAATCCTTTGTGAGTTCAGTCTGTTTTTGTAGGGTTATCAGTCAAAGGGTATATAGGCAGGCAGGTTTCCTCACCACTGAATTCTTTTCACATTTAAAAGCTTATGATTCAAGTAGTAATCACTCACAACATGGGCACCATTGAAAGAATGATCAACAGTGTGCCTTTCCAGTTACAATATTAAGTACAGGACAACTTAATTGTTCAACCTTTTCTCAGGTGTTACACAATAAGTGCAAGACTATTACCTCATGGAAAGAAGCATAGATTAGTAGAGAATTAGTTCTATTGGAGCCATGTGTTTTGAGGTGTCATGGCAGGGTTCAGAGTCTTGAACATATGTCCCCTTTCACTGATCTGGCTTGAGTACTGACAGTTCATACTGCCTCATAATCTTCAATTTCAACTTCATGTTCTGTGGTAGCAGTAGTCAGCACTGTAGGAGATGTGGGTGGGTTGGTAGGTGAGTCCGGGGCAGTTATACTAGTAGAAGACTGAGTGGTCTCAGGTCCAGGTGGAGGTATTGAGGTAAGAGATGGTGTAGAAGCAGAGGGGCAGGCATCCTGACTGGACTTTCCATCTGTATTAACGATAATGGTGGTATTGGTGGAATTTCCAAATGGGCCAAAATAAAAGGCCAGAGCTGTAATGGCTGTGGCAACCAGACAAGCCAGCAGACACATTAGAAATATTTTCCAGAGTGAACACGGGTTTTCTCTAACCTGAAAAGAATTGCAAGAGTGATTATTTCTGCAATTACAAATTAGTAACAACTAACAGATTTCAACTAGAATAAGACTAATGTATTTCATTATTCTAAAGACTATTATGAAACCACAAATTCACACACACACACACACACACAGACACACACACTATACATACAATCTTGTGAGTGCAACAAAATCCCTCAGTGACCCCTTTTGTATTACAACAATAAGTTTTCATATTGAATAACTTGCCTTAGAAATCATTATGATATTACCAGGTACAAACCTCTCAAAGCAGACAATATTTTATGATTAGTAGTGACAAGCATAAAAATAATGACGCACTGAAATAGATGTCTTTGAAAGGCAGAAAACTGCAGAGATCTTGTTTATTTTTGCTCATTGTTTCCAAACTTTCACATCAAATCTTAACATTTGTAATTAAAATTACTTATTAAATATATTTTACATGTCAGTTATAAACACAAGAGATTTCATCGAAATACACAAACAGACAAAGTAAATTGGCTTTGATCTATGGGATCCTAAAGACACACAGTCTAGTGTTATCACTTTGTAGGAGAACTTATGACCCAGGAACCTCACAGAAGTGGCAGAGTAAAGGACTTGATTGTCCTATTTCATGTTATTCTAAGGAACAATAGATGCATCTAACCACATCCCTCAGACCTTACCGGATGTAGCTCACATGTCACATGGTGTGATCTACAGCCACAGTGTGTTCCTTCAGTTGAACAGTATGGATTTCTTAATAACTATTCAAAAAGAGGCAAAGTCAATAAATAATCATATACATGGAAAGTCTTAAACTTTAAGGATGAGAAAAGTTTATGTGGTCTGGAAACATAAATACATATAAAACAAACACAGAATAATATGAATGTAACATGGCATAAAGGAAGAACTAGGTAAGTTCTATGGGTATCACAATGGCTTAGTGATATGACACAGATATGTTTGCATTTCACACCAAATGATCAAAGAAGATTAGTTGATCATATCAATAGATTCCCCAGTACCATTGAACAAATGTAAGCATCCCATCTTGATGAAAGGAGATAAGCAAAATGACTCGATGTGAACTAAAATTGAAGGAATGATTCCTAAATGCAACAGGAAATGTTTACCTCAAAATAATGACCAGTGTGTTTCAACAGTGAAACACAAGGGCCATCCCATTACAGCAAGGAAAAGTGAATAATGTTTCCTGAAAATATTACTCAGTACATATGGACAAAGAAAGTCAAGACAAAATTGCCAACATTTGCAGGAGGGTCTATTATCAGAATATTTAATAATCAATCATATAATCTATTATAATAACAACTTAATGAGTTTACTGGCTGTAAATGTATAAAGAAATATCCATAAGAGCCATTGCTTTTTGTGGTCAGTGCATGTGTGTCACTTTTTACAGTAGTAATGAAGTACATAAAATGTGAGAGAATTCACATAAACAAAACTACATAGAGAAAAAAACGCAGTTTCAATACGTATCCTCTTACAAAAAGTTTCAATAGAAGTATAACCAATTAGTTACCTGAATTATAATCAATATTATTTAGTTAATATGTAGTTAATAAAATTACAATTTGGGGGGAAATGCTTTGGTTATCTGATAATAATTCCACGTGACAATAAAAACCAAAATAGGATGAGATTAAATTAAATTTAAAGTGAAAAATAGCAGTGATTTTAGATAGCATTATAGGTTTTTAATTTTTTTCTAAGGTTCCCAAGATAAACACGCATAATTGTTTAAAACAAAACTCCCTTGTTGCAAGTTTATGCACCACAAGAGGGTTACTGAGTACTGAAAATCTGCTAAATTGTAATCCCCCTGCTTTCTAGCTCTATTTCTTTCCTTCCTTCCTTTTTTTCTTTTATTTTTTTGTTTTTATCAACATAGAAATTCATCTCATTGTTTTCTTGGCATAACTAAACACTTTACATAATGAACTGAATTGCATCAAGATTTTCGTTGTTGTGAACAAACACTATAAATCATTTTCAGTAGCAAATGGGGACATAAGCAAACTCTAATATATGAAGTTAAAGCAATGATGTCATGCAGCATTCTTGGAATCTGAGAAAATATAAATTAAGTTTATGGTAGTCTATCTTTGAAAACTAAACCACTCTCTTGTACAATTTCAATTTGCAAAACAATTTTCTAGAACACTCTAACTTTGTTGTTACTTTGTACACAAATTCTAGTTGCTAAAAGTCATTTTCTTGTGTCAGGGTCATAGATGTTGAATTTAAGGTATTTTTTTAAATAAAGAAGTATGTGTAAGAAGAAGAATTCAGTTTCTTACTCTGAATAGCTAGCTACATGTACTGATAAATACTTCAATTTCCTTGTTTGTAAAAAAGAAAGGCACTAGGTTTAGTATGGAATGACACCATTAAGATTTGTTTTCCTGGGTCTAAGAAAAGGTTGATTTGCATACTAGTAGAGTAATATAGGTTCAACAAAATTCCCCTCTCCATGAGACATTTTCTATAACTGTTACTTTGATTACAAGTACACCAAATTTAGGTGCAAAAAGATCAACAATAAATACTTTCAATGGACTAATCTGTGTACAAATAAAAAATTTCAATATTTGCTATTGAGAAGACCCTTCAAACCATCTAACCAAGTTGGTTTTGTTTTGTTTTTTTGTCGTATGTTTTGATATAGTATTAAAATACAAACACCAAGTCTAATTCCCAGATTCTCAGGAATATAAAAACAGTGTGACATACTGAACAGATCCATGATAATGACCATCAGATTCACTCTTCAATGGCAAATTTAGAGTTTAAAATTCCCTACAAGATTAAAAATTGAAACCAAGAATCTAGACAGCAGAGCAATTAAGAGTTATCTGCAGTACTCACCTTCTCCCCCAAACTTTGCTCAACATTCATGGTGTACTGCTGCTGCTTTCTAACCATCCTGGGGTGATGGTTTCAGATGTAACGCCAGCAAGCTCTGTGCCACCTGTGTGGACTACAATTTAGAAATGCTGAACCTCTGCTAAGTCAATAACTGTGTCTTTAATCAATATGAATTTTATAAAATGATAATTATTTGTCTTCTTGGAAAAGGTGAAAAATGATACAACACAATTAGATAAAGAAAAATAGAGGCACTGGCTGCCTTTTAAAGTACCATGGAGGAAATGCTCTCTTATATTTGAATGACTTTAGTGTTCTCGGGAATATATAAGCTCGTCCTCTGTTGATTTCATGCAATTTCTCATAGTTTAGGAATCCTGTGTAGCTTCTGAACAAGCCACGAAACCACTCCCCGATTATTCATATTGAGGAATCCTATACCTAAGCAAACAGAAGGATTAGGGTGTTGGCTAACTTCAAAGTGTCTAGTGATAAGACATGCTAAGATTTGGGGTTTAAAATAAATTTAAGTTCCACAGTGAATACAACTGTCTTCATTTTAGCATAGAAACAATCTTACATTGGTAATGTGTGCATTCTCTATCATGAGACAGTTTGTCTCAGTGACCACACACTTGAAACAAAGCTTTCCTCTAGGTTTAAGATTATGACCATGTTCCCCTGGGGAAGGGTAAAGGGACAAAATCTCCTGAGCAAATTGGGAGCATTGGAGGAAGGAGAGATAGAGTGAGGAGAAAAAGAAGGGGAGAAGAGGAGGAATATGAGGGAGCAGGAAGATCAAGTCAGGGGAAGAATAGAGGAGAGCAAGAAAATAGATACCATAATAGAGGGAACTATTATAGATTTAAAGAGAAATCTAGCACTAGGGAAATGTCCAAAGATCTATAAGGATGACACCAACTAACAATCTAAGAATAGTGGAGAGGCTACCTTAAATGCCCTTACCCAATAATAAGATTAATGACTACCTTATGTGCCATCCTAGAGCCTTTATCCAGTAGCTGATGGAAGCAAAAGCAGACACCCTCAGCTAAACACTGAACTGAACTCCTGGAACCCAGTTGCAGAGCAGGGGGAGTGATGAACAAAGGGGTCAAGACCAGGCTGAAGAAAACCACAGAAACAGCTTATCAGAACAAGGGAGAACTCATGGACCCCAGACTGATAACTGGGAAACCAGCATAGGACTGACCCAGACCCCCTGAATGTGGGTGTCAGTTAGGAGACCTTGCCAATCTATGGGGCCTCTGGTAGTGAATCAGTATTTATCCCTAGTATACGAATGGACTTTGGGAGCCCAGTCCACATAGAGGGATACTCTCTCAGTCTAGACACATGGGAGAGGTCCTAGGCCCTGCTCTAAATGATATGACAGACTTTGGAGATCCCCCATGGAAGACCTCACCCTACCTAGGGAGCATAAAGGGGATGGATAGGGAGTTGCTGGAGGACAGGGGAGGAGGGGAGGGACAGGCAACTGGGATTGACATACAAAACAAGCTTGTTTCTAATTTAAATTTTAAGAAGGAAAAAAAATACAGTTATCTAAAAACAATCACAAAAAAGTTTGTGACCCCCAAATTAGGTAGAATTAAATACTGTCAAAGTCTTGTAATAGCAAAAGAAAATGTAAATGAATTACCAATGTTAAACACAATTATAAAAATTGGAGCAAATGTAACTAGAAAAACTTTGTCAATGAACAATAAAAATCATTATCCTTTATCCTTAGAAAAAGATAAATTTAAATGGATGGTGGAAGACATCCCCTGTGTTATTGAAATCAGTGAGTGTTGGGATGAATGAGAAAAATAACATTTGCATGATTTTTATCTAAAATTTCAGAGATTCTCAATTCTATAAATTAAGGATGACATAAAGCTGATGCCATCTGCTTCTTGGGACACTGTGTCTTCCTTTAGGCTATAAAGTGATTTCCTCTGCTCTCCATGGCATTTGATCTTCTGAATCAGAAATGACCCAGAGAAAGAAATTGTGTCTTTGGTTATTCTTCACATTTCACAAGGGACAAGACACAATATACAAAACTGAAGTGATTTGGCTATTAACTTCAGAGTTGATGGCTTCTGTCGCACCAGCTGGATGAAACTATAGTAGAGAACAAAGAAAAGTGATTTTAAGTTTCTAAGAGAGTACTGACTTTTGAGTGAATAAGTCATGTGCATATCCAAAATACCAATAGACATACACTCATGCCCTAACTCAAGTGCCATTAGGGAATAGATAGAATATTATCCCAATAGTTAGTAGTCTTGAGAATACAGATGTATCTTCAGCATACTTATTCAGTTTCTGTGGATATAATTCAGAAGTGAAATGCCTTGATTTTATGGAATTTCTATTTTAGATTGTCAAGCATCCTCTATTTTCCAAAATGACTGTATTAATCAAATGATCAATTAATTATGTCAAATTCCCACAATGCTTTGTTTTCTCTTCTCTATGTTCTCACTTTTTTATTACTTGAATTTTGAATAGCTTGTTTCACATGTCAATCCCAGTTCCCTCTCCCTCCCCTCCTACCACAACCCCCATCATCGCCCCCAGCCTCCCACCCTATCCCCACTTCCTTCCACATAGGGGATATCCAGAGTCTGTCATTTCACTCAGGGCAAGGTCCAGGCACTCCCCTAAGAGTCCAGGCTGAGAGAGCATCCCTCTTTGTGTTATGGACACACGAAATCCGTTTGTATGCCAGGAATAAACACTGATCTACTGCCCAGGGCCCCATAGGTTGCCTAGGCCTCCTCACTGACTCTCACACTCAGGGAGTCTGGATCAGTCACATTCTGTCCTCCCAGCTGTTGGTCTGGGATCCAAGAGCTCACCCTTGTTCAGATCAGCTGTCTCTGCTGGTTTTGCCAGCCCATTCTTTGCCAATTTGCTCATCGCTCCTCTCTGTCTGTCACTGGGTTCCTTGGGTTCAGTTCATAGATATGAACATAACACTTAGGAAAATAGTAGTAAAGCCCCCTAAAGTGTCAATAGCCTTGCTAGTCATGGACTTTTGACTAGGCTTACAGTATATATGCATTCCCTGCCATGAAGGTGGTCTCAAATGCAATGAGAAAGTTATCATTTCTGTATGTATATGTGTGTTTCTTTTTCCAAACTGTTGAAATCAGTCTTAATCCCTAAAGCCTTAAAGCCTACCATTCAATCTGCATCTGGGTTTCCAGTGATGTTTCTTGGTGTTTATTTCGTTAGCCTCTAAGAAAACAAAACAAAAAACCAGTAGAAATCATTGCTCAGACCCCTTAGATTGATAGATTGTTATAAATTCCATGGCAAGTGTCTCTTAGCATTTTATATTTGTGTCACAATCATAGATGCAACTCCTAATCTCAGAAATGTCTACTATACAGAGTGATTTGAACAGTCCTATGAGCAAATCCTGAGTCAAGGAAGAAATAAAGAAATTAAAGACTTCCTAGAATTCAATGAGAATGAAGGCACAACATACTCAAACTTATGAAACTCATTAAAAGCAGTGCTAAGAGGAAAGTTCATAGCTCTAAATGCCCACAAGAATAAATTGGAAGGTCAAAAAAGACAAACATGGTATGTACTCACTCATATATGGATTTTAGACTTGGGTCAGGGAAGTGCCAGCATACAATCCCACTGCCAGAGAGTCTGGGAAACAGGAAGGACCCTAAGAGAGCTATGCATCATACCCCAGAGAAGGTCGGATGAGGCAAGATCTCCTGAGCAGAATGGGAGCATGGGGGGAGGGGAGAGGGAGCCATGAAAAATAGAGGGGGAGAAGAGGAGGGGAGAGGAGGACATGGGGGAGCAGGAAGGTTGAGTTGGGGGAAGAATAGAGGAGAGCAGGATGAGAGATACTACAACAGAGGAAGTCATTCTAGCTTTGAGGGGAGATCTGACACTAGTGAGATTTCAAGAGATCTACAAGGATGACACCAACTGGCAAACTAAGAAATAGTGGAGAGGCTACCTTAAATGCCCCTCCCTAATAATGATTTTGATGTGTATCTTATATACCATCCTAGAGCCTCCATCCAGTGACAGACAGAAGCAGAGGCAGGCACCCACAGCTAAACACCGAACTGAACAGGAATCCAGTGACGAAGAGGGAGGAGTGATGAGCCAAGGGGTCAAGACTGGGCTGGTGAAACCCAGAGAAACAGCTGGCCTGAAAAAGGGGAAGATCTTGGAGCCCAGACTGAATCTGTCAGGCCAGCATGGGACAGATCCAGACCCCCTGAATGTGAATGTCATTGCAGAGACCTAGGCAATCTATGGGGCTTTGGATAGTAGACCAGTATATATCCCTGGCACACAAATGGACTTGGGGTGCCCATCCCACAATGATGGATGCTCTCTCAATCTGTGCACTTGGGGGAGGGCCTAGGCCCTCCCTGGAATGAAAGAACAGACTCTAGAGATCCCCCATATAGGGCCTTACCTCCCTGGGGAATGGAGTGGGATTGGGTGGGGGGCTGGGGGGACTTGGGGGTGAGGGGACATGAAGGGAGTGAGAGGGAGCTTGGACTGACATGGGAAGCATGTTTCTAATTTAAATATATAATAAAAAAGTGTTTCAAAACAAAGAAGAAGAAGAAGAAATTGGAGAATAGTCACGCTAGAGACTTAACAGTACAGCTGAAAGCTCTAGAACAAAAAGAAGCAAACTCACCCAGGAGGAGTAGATGCCAGGAAATAATCAAATTGAGAGTTGAAATCAATAAAGTAGAAACAAAGACAACAATACAAAGAATCCATGAAACAGAGTTGATTCTTTGAGAAAATCAATAAGATAGACAAACCTTTATCCAAACTAACCAAAAGGCAGAGAGGAACATGCAAATTAACAAAATCAGAAATGAAAAAAATGGGACATAACAAAGGACACTGAGGAAATCCACAGAATTATCAGGTCATACTTTGAAAACCTGTACTCCACAAAAGATTAAATATTATCAAAATTAAGAAACTTTCAGGATACATATCCAACAGCTGATACAGAAGGCTACTCTGGATCAGTGCCTACTCTTTATCAAACACCCATGTAAAAACAGAAAACCAACCCATTTTAGAAGAGCATCAACAAATAAATCACAGGGGCAGATTTCCACAGTTAAATGAGTCATCCAGTAATATAATGCAACTTTTTTGTATCTCTTTTATATTTCATCTTTAAAACAACATCTTTGGATGGGAGTCCAAAGTCCGTGTGTATACTCGGGATAAGTACTGATCTACTGCCCAAGGCTCAAT